TAATAAGTTTTACACTCGGGCTCACAGAGACCAAATGGTCCAAACCTAAGACACAAAAACAAAAACAAACACAACACAAGTTAGCACAGAACAATAACAACTAAAAAAAAATCTGAGAAACAACAAAGCCCTTCCTCAAGCAGACAAGCAGGCTCGACCAGCAATGAACGATCGACACAAGAAAGTTTTAGAGCACGAGAAACCACTACCGAACTGCGAACCACCCTATACAGTAGCTGAAACCCAGCCCGATCCAATCCCGGAATCGACCCATCTTCAACCGAGAGAGAGAAAACCAACCCCAGCCCCAGCCCCACCTGAGCCCGTCTAACACCACTGACCGAGCTCAAGAGAACCAGGACCCCCGTCGCCTAACACCACTAGTCACACAGGGTGAGATGGCTCGGTCCTTCAACCCCGGCCTCCGCAACAGAAAATGCTGCAGCTGCCAGAGTCCCGCCTCACCCGAGGACTCCCGCTCCCCACGACATCACCATAGAATGACGTCCACCAGAGGTCTCGGCTCCGTCAGAAAAGGCGCAGCCCCGCCGGAAAGGCATAGCCTAAGAATCGTAGGTAAGGAAGAGAAATGAGGGACCTATCGCCACAAGTCGGAGCTCCACGGGTGACTGAGGGGAGGACCGCAATCGAAGGCCAAACGTCGGCCATGGGGGGAGGGGGGGGGGCTCCATCTGCGATTGAAGACTAGACCTCTGATTTTAGACAAACCACAGCAACATCCGTGAAGCGCTACATCCGGGGTGGCCCGGCAGTCAAAGACGACCCCTGGCCGAGACACCACCGTTGCCGAGGAAGGAAGATGACCAGAAATTTGGATAAACGACGAGCGAAAATAGGGGTTAGGGTTTTATCGCCAGAGCAAAATAGATCTTAGGTAATTTCACATTATTTATTAGAGGATTGAATTCGTAATACTTTATTTATTTATATCATTGTGAAAATATAAAGATTTCAGCGTGAACGTACATCAATTGAAAAGATATTTAAAGGTGAAATCTGCCTAACAACTATGAGTAATCAATTAAATGTCGTAACTTATTCTCATGTTGAGATCTTTTGTTTATTCTCCTGTTGGGAATTTTTTTTAGTTGTGTTTTTGTGTATTAGGTTGCCTCTAGGCTGCCGTCGATTTGTACGTGTAGTCCTCCCTACTAGGGTCAGCTATTCGGCTTATTCGGTTGTTGGTTATTTTATTCAGCTTAGTGAATGTTCTCTAGTCTTGTTTTTATGTTGTGAATATACAGTGGCGGATTGACACTATGGCCAGCCTGAGCAAATGCCCAGGCTGGATTTTTGCTGCTAAAAATATGTAGTTAATTTCCAAATAAATATTGATTAAGTAAGGGCAAAGTTGGAGAACTTGTGAGATACAATAAGAACAAATTTAAGTTTTTCTTTAATAGTCTATATAAAAAGAAGTCGAACATTATCTCTATGTTCTCTTCTATAATTAAATCATTGAAATTAGAATCGAGGATGAGGCTATTGATGATCAAAGAGGACAATATAATTTATTGTTTGTGCAGATACAATCCTTTTATTTCATATTTTGTCTTCTTATAATGAGACAAATTTTAGACTTTACGAACGAGTTATCACTAGAATTATAAAGGGATGATCAAGATATTGCTATAGATTTGGTTAGGGCAAGTGAGGTCGTGCTTGTTTATAAAAACTTGAAAAAAAAATAGTTTTCTTTTTTGTGTTAACTAGAGTTTATTTGAAAAAAGTTAATATGATTAGTTGTTAGTGAGAATTTAAGAACTTATTACAATATTTAAAATAAAATGCTTAAAATTGATATGATGTAAAAGTAGGAGATATATAATTGGAAATGATAGGTAGGTAAATTGTGTGAGTGGATTAATAGTGAATTAAACTTGATGTAATGAGTAAGAATAGTTGAATAATATTATAATAATATGAAAGAGAGTTAAAATCAAGTTAGATTTTGAATTGAGATAGATTTTTCTAGTTATTTTCTAAAAATTTGATAAACAGCACCACCGAAACAACTCCAAAAAATGGGAGAAGAATAATGTGAATGGGAAAGTTTCTTGCAGAATGTAAATTCGTATGTAATTAACAAGACTTAAAAGATTTTGAGTATCTTTTTTTATATTGCCCTGTCTGATAAAAATTTCTGTATCCACCGCTGTTAATATACGTGATTCTTACCGTTTTTAAAAATAAATAAATAAATAAGTCAAATGCTATAGCTAGTTTATGGGTTGGAGATGTCATAATATTCGTAATTAACTCTTTAACACATTTAAGAAGTTGTAACATCCCACCATCAATTTAATAAGTTGACACTAGTTTTATACAAGTTTATTTTATTTTGAATTTGCCAAAGCTCCCATGGTCCAAGGGTTTTTTTTTTTTTTTTTTTTTTTTTTTTCATTTTAAAATTTTCACGCTTCTCTTCTTGGGAGCATCTTCAAACTTTTACTTCTAAGGTAGCTTTGGAATAAAGTTTGATCATTTGTTTAATTTATCTAAAGTAAGGATTGTGCAACTAGGCTAACACCTAGCAACTTAGCAACTTTTCATTTGATGGCATTATATACAAAGGGCGAATTTCTTTTACATTCAATATATACATGCACTTTCTATTACACATTGTTCTATTAAAAAACATATTATTCATCCCACAACTTACAAAATTATATACGATATGCATATTCAAATGACAGAATAATATTAACAATTATGCAAGATTTTGTCATATATACTAACACATATTTAAATCGGACGTATAGTTAATAATTATATGAAAAACATTCGCATATTTGTTAATCATATATCCAAATTCACAACATAATTCTTGATATGCAAAATTATTTCGCATATATAGTAATCACATTATCCAAATTGTCAGCCACATATTTATCATTATGCGATATTTTTGTGAATATTTTGACTCGCATATCCAAATACACCGCATAGTTAACAAGTATGTGAAACACTTACACATATTATTTAATCGAGACGCATAATTTACTATATGCGATAAAGCTTCGCATATTAATTTATTGCATATCCAAATCGAACATCGCATATTTTAAGATTATGCGAAATAAGGAGCCCTAATTCCCCTCTCGTCTCTTTCCCCTAAAAATTCGCCGACTCTCTTCGTCTTGCTGGTTTGTGTGCCTTCCTCAGCGGCTGACCGGGCTTGTCGGTGCTCTGCTAATCGCCGCACACCCTTGGCGCCCTTTCCGCAGCACCCTCCGCTATTTTGCTCCAGCGGATGGGTGTGGGCGGATGTCTTCGGCCGATCTCTTTGATTTTTTGGAGCTGGTTCGAGGTTGCAGTTCGTCGGCGTTCCTGGGCTATGGTGGGGTGCGGTGTCGGAGGTTGGGTGTTGTTCGAGCTACTTGCGACGATCTCGTTGGGGGCACCTCCTCTCCTTTTCTCTCGTCTGCCTTCTCTGATGGTCTCGCTACCGGTTCTGCTGTTTATTTTTTTCAGGTGTCCTTTCGCGACCTCTGGGCGCCGACTTCTCAAATTTGCAGCGAAACCCGGGCCGGGGTGTGTCTCTGTGGGCTAGGAGGAGCGGTTGCGTTTCATGCCGGTGGTGTCGAAGTAGCTGGGGCTTTGACGCCTTTCTTGCTCCCTTCTCTCATGTTCTCTGGTGCTGGGTCCGGGAAAGGACTGACGTTACCAGAATTGGCTAGTGGTTTCAGCCGTTTTCAATGCGGTGGTGGCGTCAGGGGCGACGATGATGTCTTTCGGCTGGAGGGCGGTTCGGCTTTTGGTTTGGTTTGGTGCTTGGGTTTCCGTTTCAGCTAGGCAGTTCGAAGTGGAGGGAATGGCTTCTTGGGCTGCGAATTTCTCTAAAGGGTCGCCTTTTGTCCACTGGTTCAGTTTGGTCACTTTGTTGCGGAAAGGCTCGTCTTTTAGTTGTTTATTTGTTGTTTCAAGGTGTGTGTTTTGTTTGCTTCGTCTGTTAGGTCTCGTATGTTTTGTTTGGGCCGTTGACCTTTGTGAGCCCGAGTGAGAGCGGGTATTATCATTTGAGATCGCTCATTCTCCCTTTGGGAGCTAGTAGTTGATTTCTGTTTTTTTAGTATAGTAGTGTTGGTCTACCGTTGCTAGAGCGTCTCCAGGTAATCTCCAGATTTGTTCTCTCAATTTTAAGCACTCAGTTGTATTCAATCAGCTTTGAGCTATTTTTTTTCCGCACCTTTGTGCACTTTAGAAAATCCCTATGGCTTCGACAAAAAAAAAAAAAAAAAAAGATTATGCGAAATGTTTTCGCATTGTTTTCAACTCGCATATCCAAATCAATGACGTCTATAATTAACGATTATGCGTAACATATTTGTATTTTCTAGAATCTCAAATTTATGATTATCCTAATCAAAATTATGCAAAAATAATTTCATATATGTAGCTACCGCATTTTCAAATTGATAGCCCCATACTTTAGGATTATGCAAAATATTTTCGCATAATTCTCAACTCGCATATCCAAATGTATAACACAGTATAATTAACTATTATTCATAACTTGTTCGTATATTTACAAATCGCATAACTTATTATTATCTAAATCAAAGTTATGCGAAAATTATTTTCCATATACAATTATCTCATATCCAAATTGATCACCGCATATTTAAGAGTATGCAAAACAAGTTCGCATAGTTTATGAATCCCATGTCCAAATCAGACGAATAGTTAATAAGTATGTGAATTATGTTCACATAATTTATAATCGCATATCTTAATCCACTGTATAATTTAACATATATATGCATAAAAATATCGCACATTTAGATATCCAACATCTAAATCGAACGTCTCATATTTATGATTATGCGACTTTTTGTCGAATAGTTTAGCACTCTCTTATCCAAATCGATAACGTCGTATAATTAACAATTAGGCGTAATGTATTCGTATATTCACGCATCAAATACCCAGACTGAAAGGCGCATAATTAAGGACTATCTACTAATTTTTTGTTGATCCATACCACGAATCAATATATCCGCTGAAAATGTTTGACATATTATTTGAACAGTTACGTATCAAATTGATCGATTTCATTTTCACATAAATTATACAGGCAAAATGTGGATTTTTTTTTTTCCATAAAAATTTTACCTCCACATATGATGAATAATCAAAGGGTGGGTATATTTTACGCTGTGGAATTTGTTTAACTGCTATAATTAACAGAGGACACGCGCACAACTCTTCGAGAGCATCACAAAAGTTGTTTTAGCACAAAAGTTTTATTTTTTTCCCAAAATTACGTACTAATATTTATATTGTTGTTTAAACTATTTGTAAATATTGATTTTTGTTTTGAGAATTGAATTTGTGGCTGCAGTAATTGAGTGAGGTAGCCTAATAGCTGATGTAGGCAGAAGAGTACAATGAGAAAGAGAGTAAAACTCAAAAGATTTATGTTAATAATCGATCAAAGTCGGCTAAACAGGGGTAAAATCCCAATTCTCATAATAAATAAAGCAACATTAATTATTCTCCTAATAAATAAAAGAAATAAGATAATTAATAATTGGCAATAATATATCTTCTAAACCTAGAGTCGATCAAATCTTGTCAGATATGCTAACGCGATCTTGTCGCCATAATCCTGGTTGAGAAGGTTCACCCTCGAATCTGATGCGATCTCGTCGTTGTCATAATTGATGCCACGGTACGAAACCATATGCTTGACGTTGAACACGTTAGACGTACAAATATGCGATTGAAGACGGAGACGATAAGCACTCGGATTGATCTTCTCGACGATCTGATGCAGATGAAGCCGCATTCGCTTATATGGAAAAATACGAAAGGCTTCATATTTAGTTATCTATTTATTATTTATTTCCTAGTTTATATTATGCTTATCTTTATTGCATGTTATTTAGGATTATTATTTGTCTTGCCTAACAAGATAAATAATAGGAATAAAAATTAGGAGTCTTGGGGTTTCTCCTATATATTGTACTCCTATCAGAAACTTTTACGCAGTTATTGATAATAAAGATTTATATTCTTCTGGTTTCTTGAGTTCTTCAAGAACAATTCTCCCTTTTTTCTACCACGTGCTGCATCAGTTGGTATCAGAGCTGTCGGACTGATCCTACGATGCCGCCGAGAAGAAACGACAACGAACGCCGTGATCACCACCTTGAGGATCTGGATCGTCGGACGGATGACCTAGGGTTCCAAATCGACGGGGTGAATCGACGTGTTGCGGATCTGACTGAT